CAAAACTAGCAGCTTTTTGGGTCACTCATTAAGTGTGTTGTGATAACACACCAGAATGTTGCCTTCAAAATCCAGAGTCCCAGTAGGCTTGTGCCACTTTTTTGGCTGTGGGACTGGCCAAATGCAACAACTTATCCTTTACCTTTATAAGAGGTAGGGCAACAAACCCCATAGGACTGGATCCCGAGAAATTTCACTTGGGTACAAGGCCCTGAAGTCTGTGTGACACACAAATGTTTTCCTGGTAAGTCTAGAGTAGCCACTTCTTGATCACTAAATCCCATCACCATAATGTTGTCAATGTAACAGACTGATGTGCTATCTTGTGGACAGGAAAGTAATCAAAACCCCTATGAACTAAATTATGACTTTGGTTGAGGAGTTGCTATGTCCCTGGGGTATATAAATGGTCTTGTCAGCTGAAAGCAAAGTATGTTTAATAATAGGGATGGGGGTGGGGGGAAATTTGCCGGTCAGTTGTTGCAGATCAGGTACCAGGGGATAGATAGATTAATGTGGTTAAACAATGAAACCCCATCTGGTACATCGCAACCAGCTTAAATTTATGTTAATCTGTTATAGGACAGGGAGAGGGGCAGCCCAAACCCCGCAAACCTGCCTATTCTAAATGGGTTCGGCCATCCGCCGCATCAACACAAAACACATGAGAGTAATGGGAAGGATCTTTAATAAAACTAGGAAACAATACAGGAAAGGCAAAGAGTCTAGTTTCTAAATGAAGCACCCAAAGTTACCCGTCCCCTCGTGGGTAAAAGTCCATCCATATGGGATCGGCCCAGAACAAGGCCCCAAAGCCTGCTACAAGTCTAAAGCATCTTCCAGTGGGGACCCACAGAAAAGGGTCACAAACAACCGGACAAGCCCGGAAGGAAAAGAGCAAAATCAACATCAAGATAAAAGCTGCCATGGTCACCTCTCCACGGGTCTCACCCACATCTGTGTCACCCAGTCCACGACCAAAAGACAAGCTCAGTTTCTTCACGTGTCTCTAGGCTCCATGCACCTCCCTCCTCCAGGTCTCCTGGCTCCATCCTGCTTCCTTCCTCAGTCTCTTCTGCAGCTTCTCCTCTTCCTGCTCAGCTCCACCCTCCCTTGGGTGGGGCAGGGAACCTCCCCCTTTCCTGGGGACCACCCTGTTGCAATCCCCCCTTTTAATTTTTATTCCACCATATCTATGGTGGCACAGATCTCAGGGTGTAGTCTTAGGAGACAGTCTTTTTTTAGGGTTACAATGTGTGTAAGAGAAGCAACAATTAGTCAGCAGCATTGTCTATGAATGTCCAGTATGACAGTTTTCCATTCTGAAAAATAGTCCATTATACCAGCCAAAAGAAAAAAAAATTGGAGCGTTAGCTAAAACAAGACAGAAAATATATCAAAATCACAGGGAAAAAATGTTAAAATGGTTCAACTTACGCAAAAACGAATTCTCTCAACCTTGATCCCAAACTTTAACAGCATAGCAAAAGTTTGCAAATTAAATCTACTTTTAAACCATTTTTCCTATTTTTGCATAAAATCACAGGGCAGAAATAACTAACAGCAATTTTTAGCTGGCTTTGTTGAAATACTCCATATAGGATCAGAGTGAACCATTGGCATCCAGTAGATGTAGGCTTTAGGTACAAAGTTGGTCTTATCAGACTCCACCTGGGCTTTCCTCTTCTCGAGGGTGCCAAGGCATTTTCGTTGGCCGGGTTGTCCAGTCCTGCCAATGGAGGCAAGCTTCCTCACCTTCTTTGGAGGTCTCTGGAACCCTACAAACAAGGCAAACAGGTTCTCTTCTTCTTGGTTCAGCTCTTTTTCAACTTTCTGGAAGAACTCCACACAAAGCCACACAATCAAACTCGCGTCCAATTTTTTTGTTAAAACAGATAAAATCCCTATGGAAGTTATGCAAAAACAGACTCTAAGATAAGTAGCAAAAATTACTACCTCTATTTGTATGCTGTGTTGGTATTAAGGGGAGAGAAAATGTGACGAGTTAGCTTTGCTGGAAAAAAAATTGCAACCTTGCTGCAGATTCTGGTTACTCAAAACAAAACAAAACAAAAAAAACTTTGTGGATTCAGGACAAAATGCATGAAAAAATTACAAAGAAAACTTGTAAATGTCAGGTGTATTTCCAGGTCTATTCAGTCCCTTGTAGGAAAGTTTTTACTCTAAAAAGTTCCATCAATAGGAATCTGTTGAGACCTTTTCTCCCTATATTTTCAGAAACAATTCCTGTAGATATTAAACAATTGAAGTATACAATATTACAAGGTGACAATCTACATACATACCAGATACTGAGAGGTTTTTTGTATACACATTTTAGAAAACTACTGTTAACATTTTTGTACATACCAAAGTTTTACCATTTTCCCAAGTGACAATGCTTCCCTTCCAGTTTTACTTCATTAGGTAAAAGCCAAATAGAACAAATTCATCTAATGCCTTCCCAGGAGGAAAGGGAGAAACTTTGTGGAGTGTCTCAGGAGCTCTACTGAGGTTCCACAAAATTTCCTTGCATCAGTCAAATGACAGGCTACCAAATTTGTACTTGAATTTAGATTTCTGGGAAGCTTTGCTATAAATATCAGAAAATTAGCAGAAACAACAATATTCAATCTCTATGAAGGCACCGGCTTAATTCAGTAGCACAATGTTGACAATCAAACCATAACTTTTTTATTTTTATCATAACTGGAGACTTTTTTTTTTCAACGTCTATGGGCACCATGTATACCAATTTGTTGATCACTGGAGGTCAAGACAGACACAAGGACATACAGACATACAACGTATAGACAAAGACAGTTTTTTTTTTTTAGTTATGCCACGTAGAATATGTTATGTAACTGCAGTTTTACTCCATAGGCTCAGAAAAAAAATATCAAAGTCCAAAAAAAATGTGGAGTGTTGCTGGCAGAAAAATTTCCAGTTGTCATCCTGCAAACCTAAGACTTTGGAAATAGGAAGGAAAAGTTTTATTAATCACAAGAGTTCCATGACCTTGTTTATCACCTTAGGGTTTTCAGTGTTGAAGACTTTTTATTAGAAGTCAATCCTGGGGTATTCTGTACAGCAACTGAAAGAATAAAAGTAACAGTTAACTTTTAAGCAAAAGGAGTCATCTCTTGTTAGCCACCAAGCAGGCACTCCTTGGGTTTCCTGGAATAGAACCCGAAAAAGCAAAATCAAAATATCAGTAATTAACTTTCAATTAAAAGGAGTCATCTCCTTCTGTTAGCCACTCTGGGACAGAAGCTGAAAGAGCAGATTAAACATCTAAGCACAAATTACACCTCCCCCACACTAGGGAGGGACAACAACAACACAGGTATGAAAACCTGGTATAGTTACATGATGCACCCTAAAGAGTGCTTTCCATAACAGACCTTCCTCAGTAGGAAGCAGAAACTTAGAATCTTGTCTTACACCAGCAATTGAACAAATCCAGGATTCAAAATGGCAAACATGCCCAAAACAAATTGTGTAGACAAAATTCACAGCAGCAAATCCTTTCAGACTCAGACAAAGTCTTGTTAATTTTTCTGATCCAGACTTTGCAAAAATTCAAGTTATCTCCAAGAATCCATCAAGGATACCAGCAATTACCAGTTACTGCTTAAGGCTACTCTTTCCTTAACACCCAGGCATACATTTGCTAATTTAAACACCACTGCTTCACAATTGGCTGGCAAAATGCATCAGGCAAAGAGCAGGAAGTAGCCAAAGACAAAGCTACATACCACTGAAGAAACATTATTGCCTTTAGAAATGCTAATGAGACAGCAGAGATTACAAAAAGAAAGAAAAAAAAGTTCCAAAGTCCTAGCAACAAGAACCTCTGAATTTTACAAGAGCATGCCAAGTGGCCTCAGACACCATCTTTGATCTGGCCACATGGTCCAATGTACTGCCTAATCTTTTGAGTAAAACTGGCACAGAAAAAATTTCCACAAATTAAAATCTCTTAGCAAGTCACTACAAACAAATTACACACAAACACACAGAATCTTCACAAAGCCCAAGCCAGTTTTTCAACAGCAAATCGACATATGAAACAAACACACTAGAGAAACCAAAAATCACATTTGCGCTTATGGTAGCTAGTGCCATAGGGAAGCCCAATTTCCCCATGGGGCTGACTAACCACGGATGGCTCTGTCCTAAATCATGTTGGACGCCAAATCTGTGCACCTCCCTCCTCCAGGTCTCCTGGCTCCATCCTGCTTCCTTCCTCAGTCTCTTCTGCAGCTTCTCCTCTTCCTGCTCAGCTCCACCCTCCCTTGGGTGGGGCAGGGAACCTCCCCCTTTCCTGGGGACCACCCTGTTGCAAATCCACTTGCACAGCTCCCAGGCTAGAAGCCGCTCACCCAGTTCCTGGGATCTGTGATCATCCACCTGGGTCTCTGCTGCTCCCAACTAAGACCGGCTTCCTCCCTCTGGCGCGGCAGCACGCCCACACCACAGCCAAAGACACCCGCCAGTCCTAGGTGGACCCAGGACCTACAGCCTCTGGCAGAACGATCTCTCCGGGAAGCCGGGCCTCTCCCCCGCGCTACCCATCCCTTTGCACCCCACTCCCGGGCACCACGTGTAGCCGAGCTCGCAGGCGGCACAGCTACTCTCTCGACCCGGCTTAACACCCTTTTCACACACAAAATTTCACACCCTCCCAGCCGGGGTGAGACTCGCAGGATACACACCCGCCCTACAACCTCAGAAGGGCGGATCCCCCCGCGCGGGACAGCAGTTCTCTTAAGACATCAAGGGCGCGGGTCGCCTTCGCAGGGGGAGGGGCGCCCGTGGTTATAGAAGGAAACTTCAGCACAGGACTCTGAGATCCGGAATCCAGACCGAAAACCCGTGTTGGAGCCTTGGAAGCGGAGGTTGTGCGGGCACGCCGGCCCGAGCCAAATTGCGCATGCGCAGCCCCACGCCCGGCGGAAGGCGTCGCGGGCTCCGCGCCCCCGGGCTCTTTCCCCTCGGACGCCGGACCGCGTTTCTCAGAGGACAAAGCTGCCCACAGCGACTTCCGGTAGGGACGTCGGCAGGATGGCCAGTGGCACGGGCTGATGAGGTGGCCCCGGGGCCAGCGGGGAGGCAGGGTTCGGCGTGCCTCCTGGGACAGCACGTCAACCCGTGGACCAGCGCGCTTCCCGAGGGTGCTGGAGGTGAGGAGCCCCGGAGCCCCAGGGTGCGCGGGGCGGGGGCCCGAGTTGCTAGGCCTCTGGGGCGGGGGCCGCCGAGGAAGAGGCCATTGTAACCTGAGTGCGCCTCTGTAACTCGGGTTGTCTCCAGGCGGTGCATGTGGCTTTGTTGTGACAGCGACGGGATCGTGCTTTTGTGGGTGACCACGGTTGTGGGTGGCTATTGGTGTAAACCCCATTTGTTCACATAAAGCACATTTATACCCATGCTCGTGCCACCAGGCGGTTAGGAAGACATTCCAGTTGTCACAGGCCTAAATCACATCCTCCACCCGAGGTTTATCGTCATCACACAGCCTCAGACAAAGGCGCATTAATGTAATAAAACAGACACACACAAAACCTGCTCTTTTACCACTTAGTCTTCAACCCCAACAGTTATCTGAAGAGCTCACACATGTCATCCTGGCCACCACAGAAAAATTCTACTCAGTATCACACTTGTGGTAACACGAAGTGTGAGCTCGAAAAAAGGAGCTCATAATCCTTAATCTTTTTTTAAAGGTTTATTTATTTATGCATACAGGAACTGGGGTACAGATCAGAGGTGTGGGAGGTGAGAGGATTCACCAGAGACAGAGTGGGGAGCAGAACAGGCAGATTGACTGAAAATACACTGCTGAGGGGAGCAGTGGGCGAGTCTGGAGAGGTCTGCTGCACCATGTGGGTAGCTCCCTGTCCAGGTGGGGATCAAACTCGGGCTGCAGAGGCTGCAGACAGCTTCACAGTATTATGCTTAACTGCCTGCGCTACCAGGGAGGCCCAATTCTTTATTTTATTACTCCTGTCACTTGGCTTAGAGACACCTGGAGTAGGAGGAAGGAATAGTGCTGTTGCTTTTCCAGTAACTGTTTAAAGTGAATGGGTGCTGCTTCTCGGCTGAAACATTCATATTAACTTCTAAAATTCTTGTTATGTCACTCCATTTAAACTAAAAGTAATCAGGGGCCTCCCCAGTGGCGCAGCGGTTGAGCGCTGGGTTGCGAAGCTGCCTGCAGCCTCTGCAGCGCAGGTTCGATCCCCGGCTGCTCCCCGGCCACCGGAGGAGGGTCCCACATGGCGCGCAGAGGGTCCCACATGGCGCGCAGACCTCTCCTGCCGCCCGCTGCTCCCCTCAGCAGTGTACTTCAGTCCTTCTGCCTGCTCTGCTCCCTGCTCTGGCTCTGGTGAATTCTCTCACCCTCCCGCGCTTCTGACTGTACCCAGTGCATGTATAAACGAAACAAACAAACAAACAAATAAATAAATAAATAAAAAGCATGCCTCTATTAAAAAAAAAAAAATTAAAGAAAAAAAAAAAAACTAAAAGTAATCAGCGGCTCTCCTGCCCGCCTGTGATTATGCAGGTGCATCTCTTTTTCTATCTCCTTTTCCCAATAAGCCTGTCCTTTTATTTTTTATTTTTTGAGATTTGGGGAGCAGAACAGCCAGATTGTCTGATATTCACTGCTGAGGGGAGCAGTGGACAAGACAGGAGAGATCTGCTACGTCATATGGGTAGCACACTGGTTGGCAGGGAATCGAACTCCTGCTGCAGAGGCTGTGGATAGCTTCACAGTGCTTTGTTTAACCTCTTGTGCCACCAGGGAGGCCCTTTTGACTTTTGAAACAACTATTACACATACATGAGGTTTTTTGGATCATTTCTTGTTTCCCTGATCTTTTCATAATGTCCATTTCCTTTCCTCTTCCTTTTCAGGAAGAATCTGGTCAGAGCAGGTCTGAGCAGCTCAGTTGGGTCTATTTCATCATAGTGTCAGGACTCAGGTTTGCTTATCTAAATACCTCCTGCTAAAAGCTTGCCCCAGACTTGCTTGAGTCAATCCTGCTATAATTGGGCTCCCTGGGCCTCCCTGGTGGCACAGGGGGTTAAGTTTTAGTACTATGAAGCTATCCGCAACCTCTGTGGCACGAGTTCGATCCCCAGCCATGGATCTGACCCATATGGCGCAGTAGACTCTCCTGACTCGCCCGCTGCTCCCCTCAGCAGTGTATTTCACTAGATCTGCCCGTTCTGCCCCCCACTCTGTCTTTGGTGAGTCCTCTCACCCCTTCACCTCTGGCCTACACCCCAGTTCTTGCATGCAAAAGTAAATAGAAATGAATCTTTAAAAAAAATTGGGCGGGCCTCCCCTGGTGGTACAGCGGTTGAGCGCTAGGCTGCGAGGCTGCCCACAGCCTCTGCAGCACTGGTTCGATCCCTGGCCACTGGTGAGGCTCCCACATGGCGCGCAGACCTCTCCTGCCACACCCGCTGCTCCCCTCAGCAGTGTACTTCGTCAGTCTGCCTGTTCTATTCCCCACTCTGGCTCTGCTGAATTCTCTCACCCTCCCTCGCTTCTGACTGTACCCAATGTTTGTACAAATAAATAAATCTTAAAAAAAAAATAATTGGGCTCCCCTGTGCTTTTGAGTCTGGCTGGGATTTTTCTAACTTCCCAGTAATTTTTATGCATGTGTATATTTGGGAGAAGGAAACATAAGAAAATGAACAAAGGGAAAGAAAAATGTCATCCTGAGTAAGCACTTTGAGAGCTCAGAGGCACGATCATCACATGTCTGGTTTTATTTTTTTTAACCCCTTTTATCCAGAAGCACCTTCTTTGGACTCTGAATGTCTTCTAAAGTGGACCAAGAAAAGATATATACGTTGGATTAAAAAAAAGCAATGGCCCATGTAAGTTGGTGTTTTTTTGTTCCTAATTGAAGCAATTCTTTTTTCTAAGGGCATATAAAAATATGAAGACATAATTATCTAACTGAGAACCATATTAGCATGCTAGCGAGTGAATAATGGATAGTGCCAAGAATTTAGGGCCTTCAATTTTTGTTCCTCTCCTCTCTAATCATTTATTCATGTACTTGTTCAGTAAATTATTCCTCATCTCCCATATGCTTAGTCTCTACTAGGAACAAAGAGAGAATTTAAATCATGTTGTTTTGAGGGAAATATTAGTCTTTTCTTATTAGAACTTTATGAGATCATTTGACAAGTATAAAATTTATTGAGTACCTACTGTGTGTCAGGTACTCAGAATTCTAAGTACTGGGGAATAAATCACTGGAAAAATCATACACACATACAAATCTTCTCCTATGGAACTTAACTTGTAGTGAGAGAGAAAATAATGCCTTACATAGGACCTCCCTGATGGTGCCGGCGGTGGAGCACCGTGCTATGAAGCTGTCTGCAGCCTCTGCAACGTGGGTTCGATCCCCACCGGCCGGCGACAATCCCTCATGGCGCGACAGACCTCTCCTGTCTCGCTCGCTCCTCCCCTCAGCAGTGTATTTCGTCAGTCTGCCTGTTCTGTTCTCCACTCTGTCTCTGGTGTATCCTCTCACCCACCTGCAAATCTGGCCTATACCCTGGTTCTTGTATAAATAAATAAATCTTAAAAAAAAAATGCCTTACATAGTGTAAGACTTAAGACACACATGTACAGGGCCTCCCTGGTGGCGCAGCAGGTTGAGCACAGTGCTGTGAAGCTGTCCGCAGCCTCTGCAGCATGGGTTTGATTCCCAGCCAGTCTGAGAGATTCCCACATGACACAGCAGACCTCTCCTGTCTTGCCCACTGCGCCCCTCAGGAGTGTTTTCAGTCTGTCTGCCTGCTCTACTCCCCATTCTGTTTCTGGTGAATCCTCTCACCCTCCCACGCCTCTGGCTTGTACCCCAGCTATTGTATAAATAAAAAATAAATCTTTGAAAAGAAAAAAAAAAAAAGACACACACTTACAAATATTTAAGAAAAGTGCTTTCAGGTTGAGTCACAGAAAAATTTAACTCTGCATCAGACCCCTAAATGATTCAGTAGTTCAAAAGGATGAATGAAAGGATGTACAAATTATACCAGGGAAATGAAAATCAAAAACTTACTAATAAATTCAGACCACACTACAGCATTAAACTATATAATTCTAAGTTGTAAATTTCACGTAATGAAGATATGTGAGTATACCTGTATGACGTGTTAGAGTAGCAGTTTGCCTCACAAATAGAAGAGCAGGTAGAAGGAGAAACAGATACTTCCCCACTGAGGACGATATTGTTTCACTCTGTCTGTCCAAGTCAGGCCAAATGAAAAGAGTTTAATGAGAATTTAGAAATACTGAATCCCATGCTAGCTATCTCACACAACCTTACTGATGTATATTAAATGCTGTATGATAGGGGCCTCCCTGGTGGTGCAAGGAAGATGCAACCTATGAAACTGTCCACTAGCACTACAGCGCGGGTTCAATCCCTGGCCGGGAAGCTGCCCATATGGCACAGCAGACCTATCCTGTCTTGCCTGCTGCTCCCCTCAGCAGTGTATTTCTCGCCCACCGCTCCCCTCAGCATTAAGATCTGCCTATTCTCTTCCCCATTCGGTTTCTGGTGGGTCCTCTCACCTCCCACACCTGTGGCCTGTGCCCCTGTTCTTGTATGCATAAATAAATAAATCCTTTTTTAAAAATGCTGTATAATAGTAAACATACATTCTTTTCAAGTGTCAATGGAGTATTCAGGAAAAAAAATGACTAAGTATTAGGCCACACAGTAAGGTTCACAAATTAGAAACGATTAACAGTGTGATGAACAAAGTCAAAAATAAAGCTGTGCTTACTGTTAGTTTATAAGATCTACTTTAGTATCTCCTGGGTCAAATAAATATAACCTAAAAGAAAGACTGTCTAGTAATCAGTAATAGCACTGCATATTGGGACACTTGGGATTTAATTAAAGCAGGACTCTACGGGAAAAAACCATTCCTTTAAATGCATCTAACAAAATAAAATGAAAATGTATGTGAGAAGGAACTAGAAGAAACATGGCAGGAATTTCCAAAGATAAAAATGGGTTAGAAAACAGACTATGGCCTTAGTGAGCTTCCACGATGGTGTCCCATGGCCAGGGCCAAATGTCCAAGATATGGACTGTGGCCCACCAGCCTGATCCTCAGATACTTGCAAAACTGATCTCGGATTCAGGTGAGGCTTTATGAGCAAATGAGTACACAGATAAAGGGCTGTATCATTGGTTTTGATGATTTTATGAGCCTCGTTGGTGATGCAGAAAGAATTCACTCTAGAGGCCTCCCTGGTGGCACAAGGGGTTAAGACACAACCTATAAGCTCTCTGCAGCCACCGCAACAGGAGTTTGATCCCCGGCCAGGGAGCAACACACATGGCGCAGCAGACCTGTCCCGAGTCCCCCGCTGCTCCCCTCAGCAGTGTATTTCGGTAGATCTGCCTGGTCTGTTCCCCACGCTCTCTGGTGAATCCTCTCACCCTCCGCACCTCCGCACCCAGTTCTTGTATGCATAAATAAATAAATCTTTTTTAAAAATTTTCTTGTAATTTCAGAAACAGTACTGTGGTTTGTCATCGTAGGGGTTGGTGGTGTTCAGAGATGTGGCTGTGGACGTCTCCCCGGAGGAGTGGGAGTGCCTGGACTCGGCGCAGAGGGCCTTGTACAGAGAGGTGATGCTGGAGAACTACAGCCACCTGGTCTCACTGGGTAAAGCTAGCTCCCTCTGATAATTGAGACTCTTTTTCTTGCAATTTTTGCTTTTTCTCTTGCTTATGCCTTTTCCTAAGACTTTTAGGGCTGGCTTTCAAATAATTAGATGCATTTTCTCCTTGTGTAGAAATGAGCACAGCTAAATGGCGCACAGCTTCATTTTCCTCATCCTCATACCTGAAGTCCTTTTTTATAACTGACTTCCCTGATGAAGGAGCAGAATCGGCAAAATGCACTATGAAAGCATAACATGGTCAAAGAAACTCGGCTTTGTCTTTTGTTCCCCTTGCACTGCACAGAACCCCAGGTGCATTACCACAGACTAAAGCTAAACACATGTCTCCGGGGTGTGACGCTCTAGCTCTATCCTACAAACTTTGCTTTTTTTTTTTTTTTTTTTTTTTTTTTTTTTTAATTTTTTTTTTAATTTTTTTTAAAATTTTTTTTTTTAATAGAGGCATGTTTTATTTATTTATTTGTTTGTTCTGTTTATACATGCACTGGGTACAGTCAGAAACGCAGGAGGGTGAGAGAATTCACCAGAGCCAGAGCGGGGAGCAGAGCAGGCAGAAGGACCGAAGTACACTGCTGAGGGGAGCAGTGGGCGGCAGGAGAGGTCTGTGCGCCATGTGGGACCATCCTCCGGTGGCCAGGGAGCAGCCGGGGATCGAACCGGCGCCGCAGAGGCCGCGGTCAGCATCGCAACCCAGCGCTCAACTGCTGTGCCACTGGGGAGGCCCTACAAACTTTGCTTTTAACATTAAAGAAATATCTGGAAATAATTATGTCAGGAAGCTTGTTTTTTTCTTCATAGCAAAATGAGAAAGCTTACATAAATATAAATAACATTTTATTACCTATTTGTTCGTTTGTTTCTTATGGTTCTAAGTTCACCTGAATAGGAGCATTTTGTCCTTCCTCCTTTCTTTATTTTGTAGACCTTATCAGGTGCCATGTTAATCTATAGTTTATTTCTCTTTTAAATCAATTCTCAATCACGGTATTTGGGTACTTTCATTTCCATCTTATTGCCATTTCTCGTCTTCTAACCAGGACTCTCTATTTCGAAGCCATCTGTGATCTCCTCGCTGGAGCAAGGGAAGGAGCCCTGGGTGGTGCTGAGGGAAGTGGCAGGAGGACCGTGCTCAGGTGAGTGGCCAGTGACCGAGAAAGAGGAAACTATTGTGAGAAGGCGGAGGCTGCTCGAATGCTCGGTTGGGTAAGATTATTACTACAATTACCAGGAAGAACTCCATTTCAAAACTCATTATGATGCCATAATAATCAGTGTACAAGGACAGATAATAGTGGACAACAAAAGAGATTCCAGAATACCCTCAGGTTCATGACCAAATGACTTTAGACGATAATGCCAAGACCGCTCAGTTGGGGATAGGAGGTATCCTTAGCAAGTGCTCTTGGGAAAACTGGATATTCACATGTAGAGGAATAAAATTGGATCCTTACCTCACACCATATATAAAAATTAACTTAAAGGGTATCCTAGAAGTAAATGTAAAACTCCAAACTATAAAACTCCTAGAAGGAAACAGGAGAGATGCTTCTTGACATTGGATTTGGCAGTGGTTTCTGGGACGTGATACCAAGGCACAGGAAACTAAAGCGGAAACAAACAAATGGGGTACATCAGACTTAAAAACTTCTGTTCAGGGCCTCCCCGGTGGCACAGCGGTTTAGTGCTGGGCTACAAAGCGGCCCGCAGCCTCTGCAGCGCAGGTTCGCCACCGGCGAGGGTCCCACATGGCGCACAGACCTCTCCTGCCATGCCCACTGCTCCCCTCAGCAGTGTGTTTTGTCAGTCTGTCTGTTCTGCTCTCCGCTCTGGCTTTGGTGAATTCTCTCTCACCCTCCCGTGTTTCTGACTGTACCCAGTGCTTGTATAAATAAATTAATTAGTTAAAAAAACAAAACCAAAAAAACTTCTGTTCATCTAAGGACACATGAGTGTTTATTAATTTTTAAAAAAATGAAACAAGTTGCGCTGCAAGATGATGGCAGTATATTTTCAATTTAATCATGGATCAAAAACATATGAATAGTTATAATACAATACTTTGGCAAAACTAAGATTGATTAGAAATTGGGACAGTTAAAGAAAATGACAGCCAGTTTGGTGTCTGAGTGATTCCCAGGGCTCGGCTAAGGGACCCAGTTTCCAGAGCCCCGAAGACAAGAGGTCACATTCCAAAGTACAGGCTCATGTCCACTCTCCCTTCTCTGGCCCAGCAGTTGCCAAGAACAAAGGCTGCGTCTCCTGACGCCTGTCAGACAAGTGCAGCACTGCCTCACTAGCTGATTACTCTTCTGAGGTAGCCACGAGTGTACTGGGGGAGAAATTTTGAAAACAAGTTGAGGACAGTCCTTCTATGAGACTGAGAGACTCCGCAGAGGACTCTGGATATCGTAAAGGGGACAGTGGTTCAGGCAGAGGAAGCGGCTGCTGAGGTTACCAGGAGGATGGAAAAACAGGAGAAGGGATGCTTGAAGAAGGAAAGGAAGTGGCTACTGCAATTGTCCTCACATCTTCAGAAACTAGCAGCAGTGCTCTGCAGGAGTGTGAGGAGACAAATGAAAGCCCCCAAAGAGGAAAAACAAAAGGCGATTTTGAGGGAGAATGGAATGGAAGACCCATCTGCCTCCTTCCCGCCCAAGAGAAAGAAAACTTTTTTCAAGGTGGAGCTAGTTCATAGTGATCTTAAAGGCATGCTTTATTTATTTGTTTGCTGGTTTGTTTGTTTGTTTTGTTTATACATGCACTGGGTACAGTCAGAAGCGCGGGAGGGTGAGAGAATTCACCAGAGCCAGAGCGGGGAGCAGAGCAGGCAGAAGGACCGAAGTACACTGCTGAGGGGAGCAGCGGGCGGCAGGAGAGGTCTGCACGCCATGTGGGACCCTCCTCTGGTGGCCGGGGAGCAGCCGGGGATCGAACCGGCGCCGCAGAGGCTGTGGGCAGCTTCGCAACCCAGCGCTCAACCGCTGCGCCACCGGGGAGGCCCAGTTCATAGTGATCTTAAAGAAAGAGCTGAGAGGGCCTCCCCTGGTGGCGCAGCGGTTAAGCACTGGGCTGTGAGGCTGCCCGTAGCCTCTGCAGCGCCGGTTCGTTCCCCAGCCGCCGGTGAGGGTCCCACAAAAAAGGAAAAAAAAGAAAAAGCTGACATTGAAAGTCTTTCCAAGACCAAGAAATCTTTCCCCAAATTGGAACCAGTTAGTGATCAGAAAGAAGCGGAAAAACGATAGTCTTTAAGAAAAAGAGGAAATTCCCTTCTAAGAAGGAGCTACTCAGCAGTGGGCCTGAAGAGGCTACTGGCAGCAAGAGCAGCAGCTCCACGAAAAAGAAGTTCCAAAGGATCCCAGGAAGATTAGAATGTGCATGTCCCTCATGGGGCATACCCCATGGGACAGTTCCCAAACCCTCTACTATACCCCAATAAAAGCTATATAATTATATTGCTTCACAGGTACTACACAGATTGAATCCTGTGATTGTGTCCTTTGAGGTTAATAACTTTTTAATTTTTTATCTCATGTGTGGAAATATGGGGTGGGGGAGAGGACAGGAATGTAAGGAATATATGTTTACGTTCACGTGAAAATTTGTGTGTGAAAATAAGTTTGGAATAAAGTTCAAGCTGCTGGGTGATGTGAGAAGTCCACTTATAGTTTGGAAAGGAACTGACAGTGTGTTGTCCACAATGGCTGTATCAACTTGCGTTTCTTCCAGCCATGTACACATGTTCCAGTTTCTCTGAATCCTCCCTAGGCAGTATTTGGTGTTATATCTGGTTTTTGTTTTGGCCATTCTTTTAGGTGGATAGTGATAGCTCATTGTGGTTTTAGTTTGAATTTTCTCTCTCTTTTTTTTAAAAGATTTATTTTATTTATACAAGAACTGGGATACAGACCAGACCATGGGAGGGTAAGAGAATTCACCAGAGTCAGACTGGGGAGCAGAACAGGCAGATGGATGGAAAACACGGCTGAGGGGAGCAACAGGTGTGACAGGAGAGGTCTGCCGCACCATGTGGGTAGCTCCCTGGCTAGCTGGGAATGGAACCAGCTCTGCAGAGGCTTCAGACAGCTTCACAGCGCTGTGTTCAACCCGCTGCACCAATGGGGAGGCCCAATAATTTGAATTTTCTTAGTGGAAAATTATGTTGAACATCTGTTCATGTGTTAATTTGGCCGTCTGGTAGACACTCTTCACAGTAAAATGTCTGTTCATGTGTCTTGCCTACTTTCTGTTTTTATTGCTGGTCTTTTTACCATTCAGTTTTCAAGTTATTATATCAAGTTTCCTAAATAGCCATCATTGCAACAAACTTCCAAGGTGATTCTGACATTTCAGAACCAGTGACTTGACTTGTTAATTAACTCTCCCACCTTGTCTCAGGTGTTCTCATTTCTCTGTTCTCCTTATCTGTTTTTCATTCAGCTGCATGACAGTATTTAAAAGCTCTCCAGGCCTTTCATTTCATACATACATTACTTTCAGTTATCTTGCTTTCCTACCAGAGAGATTTTATCTTGTACCACGAAACCAGCCATTAAAATGTGTTTCTTATATTTCAGACTTGGCATCCAGGTGTAAGCCCAAGAAGTTATCTCCGGAAGGAGACATTTATGAGATAGAATCATCCAAATGGGCTATTGTGGAACCATTTAAAAGCTGTAATTCTGAAAAATCTATTTCCAAAGATATTTGGGAATGCAAAAATCAATTTGCGGGTCAACAGGAAGGCTATTTCAGGCAGTTTATTATCAATCATGAACACATGCCTATTTTTCTCCAACATACTTTACTCACTCAGGAATTATGTCATTCAGAAAAAATACCTGAATGCAAAGAATACAGAAAAAACTTCAATTACCACTTGTTTTTTCATCATCAAAAAAGAAGTCATTGTAAAGAAATACTTTCTGAATGTAACAAATGTGCAGACACGTTTAATATATCATACCTTACTCAACAACAGAGAATTCAAAATAGTAACAAATGTAATGACTGTAAGGACTGTTGGAAAGCCTTCATTCATTGCTCACAACTTAAACAACATCTGAAAATTCATAATGGTGAAAAACGTTATGAGTGTAAAGAATGTGGGAAGACTTTTAATTATGGTTCAGAACTTATTCTACATCAGAGAATTCACACTGGTGAGAAACCCTATGACTGTAAGGAGTGTGGAAAGGCCTTTCGACAACGATCACAACTTACTCAACATCAGAGACTTCACACTGGTGAAAAGCCTTATGAATGTCAGCAATGCGGGAAGGCGTTTATTCGTGGCTTTCAACTGACTGAACATCTACGACTCCATACTGGTGAGAAACCCTATGAATGTAAAGAGTGTGGGAAGACTTTCAGGCATCGCTCACACCTTACCATCCACCAGAGAATTCACACTGGTGAGAAGCCCTATGAATGTAGAGAATGTGGAAAGGCCTTTAGCTATCACTCAAGCTTTTCTCACCACCAGAAAATTCATTCTGGCAAGAAACCTTATGAATGTAGTGAATGTGGAAAGGCCTTTTGTGATGACCTACAACTTGCCCTCCATCGCAGGATTCACACTGGTGAGAAACCCTATGAGTGTAAGGAGTGTGGGAAGACTTTTCGACAGTGCTCACACCTCAAAAGACATCAGCGAATTCATACTGGCGAGAAACCTCACGAATGTAGGATATGCGGTAAGGCCTTTAGGCTTCATTCACACCTTATCCAACATCAGAGAATTCACACTGGTGAGAAGCCCTATGAATGTAAGGAGTGTGGGAAGGCCTTTAGCTATCATTCAAGCTTCTCACACCATCAGAGAATTCATTCTGGGAAGAAACCTTACGAATGTGGGAAGAACTTTAATCATAGCTTACAGTTTAATCTACATCAGACCGCGCTTGCTGGTGAGATGCCAGTAAGGTTTCCTTTCCTTCCTCCCCATCCTAATCTAGTATCGTAAATTATTTTGGGACGTATACTTTTTTTTTTTAAGAAAAATACTGAGTTTCATTAGTACTGATTTATTTCAGTAATCCTTGAATATCAATTTTTTCCCAGTGAGAAAATGAAAGGTTTTTTTTTTTTTAAGATTTACTTATTTATTTTATACAAGAGCTGGGGCACAGGCCAGAAGCGTGGGAGGGTGAGAGGATTCACCAGAGCCAGAGCAGGTAGCAGAACAGGCAGATGACAGAAATACACTGCTGAGGGGAGCAGTGGGCGCAATAGGAGAGGTCTGCTGCGCCATGTGGGATTCTTGCCAACCGGCCAGGATCGAACCCGCACTGCAGAGGCTGTGGACAGCTTCACAGCACTGCATTCAACCCGCTGCGCCACTGGGGAGGCCCAGAAAATGGAAGTTATTAAAAGGTAAAAATTGCTCTGATTTCAGTGCTGTTTCTGAGCTGCTATAATAACCTTGATGGACAGTAAATTTTAAAAATATGTATGTTTTCACCATAACCAGTGAAGTGTGGCAGAAATAAAATGAAAAATTTCTTCTTACAAATCCCTGCGATAACAGTGTGTGTTACTCCTTTCTTTTTTTTTAAAAAAAGTTTTATTTATACAAGAACCGGGGTACAGGCCAGATTCGTGGGAGGGTAAGAGGATTCACTAGAGACAGTGGGGAACAGAACAGGCAGACTGACGAAATACACTGTTGAGGGGAGCAGTGGGCGTGACAGGAGAGGTCTGCCGTGCCATGTGGGTGTCTCCATGACCGACCGGGAATTGAACCTGCGATGCAGAGGCTGCAGACAGCTCCACAGCGCTGTGCTCAACCTGCAGTGCCACCGTGGAGGCCCTGTGTTGCTCCTTTCTGCATGCTGGAAGAATACCTACATGTATGAAGGGTTTATCACAATTGAGTGCAAGAGGTTTTATCCCTATGCAGTGTATTTCTCGGCTGTTGGCTCTTTTCACTTATTAATCATGGGCATTTTCCCAGGTCAATATGTACATGTATGTGTATAAATACATATGTAGCAATGTATAATATTGATCACAGATACATATCAGTTGAGATAAAAAATATATATGCATTTATATTCTTTTGTAATTACATAATTAACTTTATTCTAGTACTCTGCTTTTTCTTTTTGTGGATTTGAATTACCACCTCACTTACTTTTAGTCTGAAGAACTTTACTATATCTTGTATGGTGTCTGTTAGCAATGAATTCCAGTTTTGTTTAACTAGAAATGTCTTTATTTCACCACTTACGAAAGACAATTTTGCATGGATACAGAATTCTTTGTATACAGATTTTCCTCCCAGCACTTTGAATGTGTCATCCCATTGTCTTCTGATCTTCACTGGTTCTGGTAAGATTCCTTGTTAACCCCATGGAATAGGAGGGCACCTTCTCAGTAATAAGGTTGTTTTGGTTTTGCTTTCGTTTTCTGTTTCTGCCTCCAAGCTTTTTTTGACTTTAGATTTCAGCAATTTTACTATGATGTTTCTGGTTGTGGAGCTTCTTGGATGTGTATATTAAAGTTTCAACAAATTAGAAACTTTTCAGCCATTATATCTTCCAAGTGTTTGGTTTTTTTTAAAAGATTTATTTATTTTATGCATACAAGAACGGGTACAGGGACTTCCCCGGTGGCGCAGCGGGTTGAGCACAGTGCTATGAAGCTGTCCACAGCCTCTGCAGCACAGGTTTGATTCCCGGCTGGCCAGAGAGATTCCCACATGGCGTGGCAGACCTCTCCTACCTCGCCCGCTGCTCCCTTCAGCAGTGTCTTTGGTCTTTCTGCTCCCCACTCTGTCTCTGTGAATTTTCTCACACTCGCGCGCCTCTGACCTGTACCCCAGTTCTTGCATAAATAAATAAAATCTTTAAAAAAAACTGGGGTACAGGCCAGAGTGTGAGCGGGTGGAGGATTCACCAGAGATAGAGTGGGGAACAGAACAGGTGGATCTACTGAAATACACTGCTGAAGGGAGCAGCAGGTGAGACAGAAGAGGTCTGCCATACCATGTGGGTAGCTCCCTGGCCAGAGATTGAACTCATGCTGCAGCAGCTGCAGACAGCTTCACAGGTTGCATCTCAATCCCTTGCACCCCCAGGGAGGCCCTCTTCAAGTGTATTTTTTTGCTGCTCTCTATATGTCTGTTACTTTTCCCAGTGGTGTCTTGCTTTTCTCTAAGGCTCTTCAATTTTCTTTTTTTTTTTCTTTCCGCTCTTTGAATTCTACAAACTTTATAATCTTCACATTTACTGATTCTTTCTTCTGCCAGATCAAATCTGTTGAGTCCCACAAGGCAGTTTTTCATTTTGATTATTGCTTTTAAGTCCAGATTTTCTATTTGATTATTTTTATGATTTCAGTCTCAATTGTTTGCTCTTTGATGAGACATTATCATCTTTTTTTTTTTTTTGTTTGTTTCCTTAATTGGCATTTCCTTTGCTTGTTAAAAGTAATTTCAGTTGCTGCTTTGTTGTCCTTGTCTGTGAAATGTGACACTTGGGCCCTCTCGCAATTTCTGTTGCCTGCTTTCCCCCTTGTGTATGGCTCATACTTTAATGTTTCTTTGTTTTCTCATGTATAATTTTTTATTAAAAGTGAACACTTCAGGGCCTCCCCGGTGGCGCAGCAGTTGAGCGCTGGGTTGTGAAGCTGCCTGCGGCCTCTGCGGCGCCGGTTCGATCCCCGGCTGCTCCCCGGCCACCAGAGGAGGGTCCCACATGGCGCGCAGACCTCTCCTGCCGCCCGCTGCTTCCCTCAGCAGTGTACTTCGGTCCTTCTGCCTGCTCTGCTCCCCACTCCGGCTCTGGTGAATCCTCTCACCCTCCCGTGCTTCTGACTGTACCCAGTGCATGTATAAACAAAACACACAAATAAATAAATAAATAAATAAAACATGCCTCTAAAAAAAAAAATAAATAAATAAAAGTGAACACTTCAGGGAACATATTGTAATGTACTTTAGCAACTCTGGATGCTGATTTCTCTACCCTGCTTTATGGATGTTGGAAACCGTGCCCCTCAGTCAAACGTAAGTCTTTTTTATTTTACACTTTTCTTATAGGATGATATTGTCTTTTTTTTTTTTTTTTTTTTTTAATAGAGGCATGCTTTATTTATTTGTTTGCTGGTTTGTTTGTTTGTTTTGTCTACACATGCACTGGGCACAGTCAGAAGCGCGGGAGGGTGAGAGAATTCACCAGAGCCAGAGCGGGGAGCAGAGCAGGCAGAAGGACCGAAGTACACTGCTGAGGGGAGCAGCGGGCCGCAGGAGAGGTCTGCGCACCATGTGGGACCCTCCTCCGGTGGCCGGGGAGCAGCCCGGGATCGAACCGGCGCCGCAGAGGCCTCGGGCAGCTTCGCAACCCAGTGCTCAACCGCTGCGCCACCGGGGAGGCCCAGGATGATATTGTCTTAATAGTCATGGGGATAAAATACTCAGGACCACTTATCATAGGGGACTGTGCTGCAGGGTTTTATGGGTGTTTTTTCCCTGATATCCCTGAGGATCAGAATCTTTTTGGCACACAGAGGTGTAGGCAGCAGCACCAGCAAAGGTATTGTGGAGGGTCTCAGTGGGCCTCAGGGATTTAAGAGTAGAGACCTGGGCCTCCCCGGTGGCATAGCAGTTGAGCGCTGGGCTACAAAGCTGCCCACAGCCTCTGCAGCGCCAGGTCGATCCCCAGCCACCTGCGAGGGTCCCACATGGCGTGCAGACCTCTCCTGCTGTGCCTGCTGCTCCCCTCAGCGGTGTACTTCGTCAGTCTGCCTGTTCTGCTCCCCGCTCTGGCTCTGGTGAATTCTCTCACCCTCCCGCACTTCTGACTGTACCTGGTCCATGTGTAAATAAATCTTAAAAAACAAACAAACAAACAAAAAACATTAAAAAAAAAAAAAAAGAGTAGAGCCCTTATGCCACATGGTGACTGTTCTTCACAGAATCACCTAAAGGCCTAAATATTACTCAGCGTATTTAGCGCACTTGAGAATGGAGTCAGGGCCTGGCCTGGCTGAAATGCACAAGGTACGAGTCATTCCCCCTGAGATCAGTCTCAGCAATGACTTAGGCTGCAACTGAGATATGAGTCAATCTGAGAGAGGGAGGTTTGTGCTGTGACACATGACCAGGGCTGCTTTTAGAAGGGCCTCCATCTCATATTCGTATAATTGCTGATGATCAAAACCTCTGAGGTCACTTAAAGCTCTAACAGAGATTTGGTAGGACTCAGAAAATGTAGCACAAAGCAACAAAATCAAAGCATAGACTCTACAGCAAAGAGCAGCGCAGTGTAAGCAGCGAGCTTTCTAGCAGGCAGCAACTTGGGACACACTTGCCAAAGGTCAAAGATCTACTTAGCAGGCAAAGCATGAGGATGGAGATGCCTAGGGCTGGTGGCCATCATAGACATCTGCTTGGTACGCCAGTTCTTGCAGCCTCCCTGTAGATATGGAATAGACCCTTAAACCCCCAAAATATGGTTTGGATGGTAAGACTGATGTCACCACATATGCACAAGTAGGAGTGGAAAGATTTATTACTGAAATAATGAGATTTTTCTGGGGAGAGGAAGGCAGGGGTCCAAGCAGTTCTCAAAATAAGCTCAGAGATCAGAGAAGAAACTCGCTTGGATTTTTTTTTAAAGATTTATTTATGTATGCAAGAACTGGGGTATAGGCCAGAGGTGTGGGGTGTGAGAGGATTCACCAGAGACAGAGGTGGGGAGCAGAACAGCGTGGGTCACCTCCCTGGCCAGGGATCGAACTCATGCTGCAGTGGCTGGAGCTAGCTTGACAGTGCTGTCTTTAACCCCTGTACCACCAGGGAGGCCCCTGGAAGTAAGGTCTTCAGTCCAGCAGAACCTAATCAAAATTTTGGCTAGGGGTTCATCAGGAGGGGAAACACTCCCCTTGATCCTTGCGCCCTGGGAGAAACAGCGGCATATATTGGCTGTTGCCTTTAGAGCATATACAGCATCCTAGGAGAGGCTGCCACAGCCCTACCGGCTATCACTAACCTCACCAGCACTGCAACTGAGGCTTCAAAAGACCATCCTAACATTCTACCAAGACAGCTGTTCCAGGGTGATAAAGAGCATAGCAAGACTGTGTGACTAGCATGAGAAGAGGTTCATTGCTGTAATTGATTTACTATGAAATTAGTCTGACCAGAGGCAAATGTGACCTGGACAACCATGATGATGCATAAGGCATTCTGAGATCCACAGGTAGTTTTGGTGGAAGCATTGCATGCCGGGAAGACATAGTCATGTCTCTCCAGGGAATGATGACATGTTGGGAACTCTACTCAGCTACTGGCAGACTGGGCACTTGCTTCTAAAAGTAAATCAATCTCTATGTGTGTCTCTATGCATGTATGTACATATGTTTCTGTATCTACCTTTCCATCCGTCCACCCATGTGAGTGCGTTTATATATGTATATATAGTTATATGTGTGCATATTACAGCATATTTTAATAATTGTATACACTGTAAATATATACATGCATGTGTGTACACATATACATATGTGTGTGTGTGTTTGTAAACCCTAGTGGTTTACTTTCTTTGGAGAACCCATACAGCTTCTAATGGGGGTCTCCCTGGTGACCTAGGAGTTAAGTCTCAGCGCTATCACTGTGGTGGTCTGAGTTCAATCCCGGGCTGGGGAGCTACCCACTAGGCACAGCAGACCTCTCCTGTCACGCCCGCTGCTCCCCTCAGCAGTATATTTCAGTCAATCTGCCTGTTCTGCTCCCCACTTTGTCTCTGGTGAATCCTCTCACCTCCCACCCCTGCACCTCTGGCCTACACCCCAGTTCTTCTGCGCAAGAAAAAACAAACAAACAAAAATCCAGCCTCTGAAGAAGGGCAGTAAAGTGCATGGCTGGTCTGAAAGCACACACTTCTGGTGGTCTTTACTAACATACGGATTTGTTCAAGATTGAAACCACATCAGGAGCAGCAAGTGTAGTAAAACTCACTACCTTATTAAATGTACAGTTGACATATCAATAAACTCTGTCCAATCCAACTTTACATTCCTGCCATCGTAGTCCCACACTTTAAGATTCATTTCCAAACATATTTCACAGATTTTTGCCTATATTCAAAAAAGCTTGCACTTCTTTTGGTGTGTAGCATAGCTCCTTCGGTGTCACACTTGTACCTGACATTTTGGGCCTGCTGGAACTTGAGTTTAGTTGTAGGTCTGAAAACAGAGAGGGTTAGAAGAGGTAGATCTTGAGAAGAATCATCAGTGCCTTGTTAGGCACATGGGCGCCAGCCTGGTACCTGGTCTGCTGGGCCCGGCATGGTGCTGGAGTGGCCCTGGAGCCTGTTGTCTGGGTCTCCAGAGGTAGGCTTAGATCTTCACTCACACCGAAGGATCTGGAACCTGGGTTCTCAGGAATGACCTGGCACTGGGGAGGGCCTGGCATCTGGGCCTGTAGGTTGGCCTTAATTCTGCGGAGCCTTATAATAGAGGGCTTGTGGCAAAGCGGGATGCTTGCTTCGTTCTGCTTCCCCATTGCAGGGGGTATCTCTGCTTCACTGTAAGGACTTGGGCAAGGGGTGGCATAGAGTGAGAAATTCATTGTTGTTGCTACCATCTTCAACAGATCTTTTATTTCTGTAATCTCTTACTTGGATTTATTAACTCTGGCGAAGGTATTTTCACGTGAGGATGGTTGTTCAAATTAATGTTTATGAGAGAACAAGAGTGAAGCTCCTGCTCTACCATCTTGTTGATGTCACTACTCCAATTCACTGTTTTTGTTTATGTGGTTCTGATTTTTACACATGCCCAGATTTTTGTATTTATGACCACAAATAGAGTACAAAATAATTTCAAAATCTCAAATAATTCCCTCATGCATCCCCTTTTCATTTTGCATCTACCTCTGACCTCAGCAACCACTAATATAGTCTGTCCAACCACTGATGTAGTCTGTCTTAGCTTTTCCAGAATGTCATATAAAGTAATATAGTATGTAGCTTTTTGTTTTTAAAGATTTATTTATTTATACAAGAACTGGGGTACAGGCCAGATGCGTGGGAGGGTGAGAGGATTCACCAGAGACAGAGCAGGGAACAGAATAGGCAGACTGACGAAATACATTGCTGAGGGGAGCAGCAGGCGAGACAGGATCGAACCAGGTCTGCAGAGGCTGCGGACAGCTTCACAGTGTGACACTCAACCACCTGTGCCATCAGGGAGGCCCAGTATGTACCTTTTTGAGACTGGATTTTTTTTCCCCTAGCATAATGTATTTGAAGTTCATATTGTTGCATGTATCAATAGTTTATTTTTTATGGTTGTATAGTATTCCATTGTGTGAATATACCATAGTATATCCATTTATACTCTAAAGAATCTTTGGGTTGTTTCCAATTTTCAGTGATTATAATTAATGTTGCTCTAGGCATATGTGTGTGTTTTGTGTGAGTGCAAGTTTTCTTTCTCTAGGATAAACATCTGTAAGTGGGATTGCTAGGTCATATTTGAAGTACGTTTCTTTTTTTTGCGTAGAAGAACTGGGGTATAGGCCAGGGGTGCAGGGGGGTGAGACAGAGTGGGGTACAGAACAGGTGGATCTACTGAAATACACTGCTGAGGGGAGCAGCAGGTGAGACAGGAAAGGTCTGCTGCACCATGTGGGTAGCTCCCTGGGTAGGGATCAAACTCATGCTGCAGTGCGTGGTGATAGCTTGATAGGGATGAGACTTTAACACCTGCACCATCATGGAGGCCCCCACAGTCTTTGCATTCAAATGAAAGCTTACATGGATATGCACTCAAAAGTACTTTGTAGAGGGCCTCCCCGGTGGCACAGCGGTTGAACGCTGGGTTGCGAAGCTGCCCGCGGCCTCTGTGGCACCGGTTCGATCCCCGGCTGCTCCCCGGCCACCAGAGGAGGGTCCCACATGGCGTGCAGACCTCTCCTGCCACCCGCTGCTCCCCTCAGCAGTGTGCTTTGGTCCTTCTGCCTGCTCTGCTCCCTGCTCTGGCTCTGGTGAATTCTCTCACCCTCCCGCGCTTCTGACTGTACCCAGTGCATGTATAAACAAACCAAACAAACAAATAAATAAATAAACATGCCTCTATTAAAAAAAAAAAAGTACCTTGTAGAACAGAGCTGTGCTTAGCACCATTATATTTCTTTTTTTTTTTTAAAGATTTATTTATTTATGCATACAAGAGCTGTAGTACAGGCCAGAGGTATGGGGTGGGGGGGTGTGAGATTTCACCAGAGACAGAGTAGGTTAACAGAACAGGCAGATTGACCAAAGTACTTTGCTGAGGGGAGCAGCGGGTGAGTCAGGAGAGGTCTGCTGCCATGTGGGTAGCTCCCTGGCCAGGGATCGAACTCATGCTGCAGTAGCTATGGACAGCCTCATAGGTTGCGTCTTAACCTCCTGAGCCACCAGGGAGACCCACGCCATTGTATTTCACGTCTTCATTTCTCTCTGCATCTTACTTCATGGAACCTCACAGAAATGACCCTACCTGGGACTTTGCTTCTCTGTGCAGTATCCACAGCAGGTCTTTTGCAGCTATTTTCATATTATTCAAAATTGGGAAGTATGCAGTATGCATTTGAATTGGTTAATTAACCTATGCAGTTGTTGGTATGTAAAGTTTACAGCCATAAAATGAGAAAGAGCTCTGCACCATGTATGGAGTCGTTATATAGATATTTAATTATAACTAAGTAATATGCGCAGCTTTATCTCAGGGCCAGTTTTTATTCATGTCCAGTCATCTCGCAATAACCACACTTTTGCTCATTGACTCTGGAATCCAAACATTCATACCTTTATTTTTTAAAGATTATTTTATTTATTTATGTATACAAGAGCTGGGGTGTAGGCCAGAGGTGTGGGGGTGTAAGAGGATTACTAGAGACAGAGTGGGGAGCAGAACAGGCAGATTTACTGAAATACACTGCTGAGGGGAGCAGTGGGCGTGGCAGGAGAGGTTGCTCCCTGGCCAGCTGGGGATAGAACTCAGGCTGCAGTGGCTGGCTATACCTTGATAGCACTGTGTTTAACTCCTCTGACACCAGGGAGGCCCATGCCTAGTTAATTTTACAATCCTTTCATATAAAGAGTTCTTAGCCAATATGAATTCTCTGGTGTTGCATAAGATTTGAGCTATGTCTATATGCTTTTCCATATTCATCACTCTGCTATAATATAGGCCATGAATAAAGGTTATCCCCATCATTGTACTCACAGTGTATTTCTCTTGTTAGAATTCTCTAATATATTGAACAAGGAAGGGCTTGATACTCTCCCTTTTTTATTTGAAATAAAAGTCTGGCATTAACGATTAAGATTTGGGTTGTAGCCAGATATTTGCACACCCATTTTCCTCAACATAATTTACAGAATTTCCCTCTTGCATGAAATTTCTGGTTGAGTCATCACAGTATTGATGATGTTGGGTTGTTTCCCTTCAGGGTGAATTATTCTATGCTGTGACTGTTCTGCGTTTTACCAAAGCTGACTGAGCATACATATATCCAGGATCCAGCAATTCTACTCCTTAATATAGACACAAAGGCGGTGAGCATATGATACCAGAAGACAAATGTGGTCATAGGAGCATTATTTATTCTGACCCAAAGCTGTAAACAATGAACAGGTCCATCAAAAGTAGACTGGATAAATTGTGATATAATAGAATTCTATACAGACTGAAATACATGAACTTCTGCCACATGCACTAATGATGAGCTTTAGACATGATTAATGAAACAAGCCATATAGGAAAGAATACTTGATATATAATCCAATTTATATGAAGATTTATAATATGCAAAAACTAATTCATAATGTTAGAATTCAAAGCTGTGGTTAACTTTGAGGAGGGAGCAACTAATTTGTATTCTATATTTGTAACGAGAAATATAATTCACACCTCCTTTTTGTTTTAAAGCACTTCTGCTCACAGTGTGGCCCTTGGACCATGCCAGCAAGCTGTTTATTATGGGTTTACAAGTATGTACTGAAATTGAAAATAAGCACTTTTACATGTGTGTAACAACCTGACATAGGAAGTTGACGTCTGTTGACTTTAATAATTGTAATCTAGGCTTGTTTTTCCAATGACTTTTGTCATGTCGTTTGTCTAGTAATTCCCCGTGTGTGTTTTATAGGCTAGCAAACAGTGGGTAAATATGTGATATCATACTTGAAGCTGCTGACTACTGTTACACTTATAATCAATATCATATACAGGGTTTACCATGACTTGAAAAGTTTTTACCAAAAAAGTCACATCCTTTACTGAATTATCATGGTTTCTACCTTGTGAGTTTTCTGATGGACAATGACATTTGACTTACAGCTGAAGAACTTCCCACATTCTTTACATTCATAGGGTTTCTCTCCAGTGTGAGTTTTCTGATGACGAATGAGATTTGACTTCCTACTGAAGGCTTTCCCACACTGAGGGCATCCATTGGATTTCTCTCCTGTATGTATTCTCTGATGGACTGTGAGGATTGCCTTCTGGCGGAAGGACTTCCCACATTCGTTACAAATATAGGGCTTTTCTCCTGTATGAATTCTTTGATGGAGAGTGAGGGTTGTCTTTTGGCAGAAGGATTTCCCACATTCATTACAAATGTAAGGTTTCTCTCCTGTGTGAGTTCTCTGATGTACTGTGAGGGTTGTCTTCTGAATAAATGCCTTCCCACATTCATTACATTGATACGGTTTCTCCCCCGTGTGAGTTCTCTGATGATCAATGAGGTATGACTTCTTTCTAAAAGCACTTCCACACTGAGCACATTCATAGGCTTTCTCCCCGGTATGTGTTTTGTGATGTCTAGTGAGGGTTGCCTTTTGGCGGAAGGACTTTCCACAATCCAGACAAATGTAGGGTTTCCCCTCTATATGAGTTTTCTCATGAAGAGTAAGTGCTGTCTTTTGACGGAAAGCCTTCCCACATTGACTGCAGACATAAGGTTTCTCGCCTGTGTGAATTCGCTGATGTTCAACAAGATACGACTTCCTCCTAAAGCTATTCCCACAGTAAGGACACTGAAAAGGTTTCTCTTCTGTTGGAGATGGCTGTTGCATAATAAACATGGACTTCCTGCAGAGGAACTTTTCATATTTGTTGTAAGCATGGGGCTTCTTTTCCATAAGGTTTTGTGGATGAACACTTAGATTTGACTTTTCTATGAAAGCTATTCCATCTTTATTGCATTCAAAAGGTCTTTCTCCTCTAAGTGCTCTTGTGTGTGTAAATAACATTCCCTTCATCAGGAAGGATTTTCCACAGTCAATATGTTCAAATGATTGTTCTGGAGCTTGAAATTTCTGATGCTGGTTAATTTCTTCCCCGTTGTGACTCCTTTCTGTTTGTTTACAGAGATTTCCTGCAGGCTGAATTTTCTCATGCTTGGTATTGAGGAGTGATTTCTCCCATCCATTACACTCACCAAACTTCTCTCTTACGGGACTGATATTTCTAATGACTAATTCTGAAATATTTTTTAAAACCTTTCCATCAGGTTTATACTCACATAGTGTTGCTTTTGATATAATATGGTTGTTGCCTATGGCTAATGCTTTCCCCAAAATATTACTTCTCTCCTTACTTAGTCTTTTGTGGTTAATGAATACAACTGATCCCGAATGCCTGTCTTGGTATTCTTTGAATTTCACTAAAACATCTTCAGTGTCTCCATCTTCTTCTAGAAAAGAATACAATTAACAACATTGTAAGTCTTCACACAGAAAGGCCAAAATAACCTCTTGGAAGGGAAAACACAGAACAAAAACATAAATCCTGCTATTCTATTAAAATTAGGAAAAACTGAGGACTCCCTGGTGGCTTAGCGGTTATAAGTCTCAGCGCTATCACCCATGACAGCCTGAGTTCAATCCCCGGCCTGGGAACTGACCCACAGGGTGCAGCAGACCTCTCCTGTCTCACCTGCTCCCTCAGCAGTGTATTTCAGTACATTCGCCTGTTCTGCTCCCCACTCTGTCTCTGTTGAGTCCTCTAACCGCTCCCCCTCACCTCTGGCCAGCACCCCAGTTCTTGTATGCATAAATAAATGATTCTTTAAAAAAATATAAATTTTTCTGACCATCAGTTCTAACTTCCCTCATTTGAACTTGTTGAGATACTTTTTCAGTTTTAGGGAGCATGGGTTCAGGTTTTCTTCCCAGTGACGTAAGAGACCTTACCCTCACTATTTCCTATTGGGCCGCTAAAGGCTTGGATTCTTCGTTATGTGTATATGGCACTGACTGACCTTGACTGTAATCTTTCTTAGAAAATTCTGACTATAACTTACTGTTGTTACCATATGTGGTAGGGCAATTTTAAAGCTGGATTCATCTTACCATGACTTGCATTTTATGTACAATAGCCCTAAACTGGAATTATCCATCCACAGATAAATAGGTAATACTGTGTCATATATTTAGTGAATGGAGTATTATTCAGAATAAAAAGGAAAAAAGCTCCTGATACACAATGACAAAGGGGGTGAATCTCAAACATTTTTCAGAGTGAAGGCTTTATGCAAAAATGTATATCTTGTGCAGCTCCATTTATATGCACTTCTAGAACATGCAAAACTAATCTGAAGTAAAACTGCCTTCCTGAGAAACTCAACCGCATTTAGGGACATGCCACTATCCAATTTCTCCAAAAGACTTCATGTATCGTTTCTACCCTCTAATCGCTAATGTTTAATTTGATGACATTGGAATATAAATATACTCTGGACCATCCTTTTCAAGAATTCTTTCAACAACCTGTTATTTTACTATAAATATTCCAAGCAAGATACCTGGTAATATATCCTTCTGAACTAAAACATATGTTTCTAGAAGTCAGTCTCTTATTGACTAGCTCCCTTGGAATCTGAATGTGGATTAAAGGACGTGATTTTTTTTTTTAAAGATTTATTTATTTATGCATACAAGAACTGGGGTGTAGACCAGAAAAGCAGGGAGTGAGAGGTTTCACCAGAGACAGAGTAGGGAGCAGAACAGGCAGACTGACTGAAATACACTGCTGAGGGGAACGATGGGGAGACAGGAGAGGTCTGCTGTGACATGTGGGTCAGCTCCCTGGCCAGGGATCAAACTTGTGCTGCAGTGGCTTGTGATAGCTTGATAGCACTGTCTTTAACCCCCTGTGCCATGGGGGAGGCCCCTAAAGGACGTGACCTTGCCATGTGTATCTAGAAGAACTTAACAGTAAGTGAGTTTTGCCAAGTCCAAATTGTAATTACAGCAGTTCACACCAAGATAATAAGGCTCCCATTTTGGAAGATATTATTGGCAAATGAGAATATGAGAGGATAGAAAGATGTCTCTCACAGCGTGAAACAAAATAATGGAGAGATGATTAAGTAAGTATAACAGGGCTTCCCTGGTCCCCTAGGGGTAAAGTCTCAGTGCTATCACCACTAAGGCCTGAGTTCAATCCCCGGCCAGGGTGCTGACCCACATATGGCACAGCAGACCTCTTAACCCCAACCCTAAAAAGAAAGAAAGAAAGAAGGAAAATGAAAACTACCAGGAAGACACATATTAGACAATGACATCTCTTTACTTTTTTTTTTTTAAACTTCCATTTCTTTTTTTTTTAAGATTTATTTATGCATACAATAACTGGGGTATATAGGCCAGAGGTGTGGGGAGGTAAGAGGATTCACCAGAGACAGAGTGGGGAACAGAACAGGCAGAATGACTGAAATACACTGCTGAGGGGAGCAGCGGTCAAGTCAGGAGAGGTCTGCTGCGCCATGTGGGTAGCTCCCTGGCCGGGGATCAAACTTGTGCTGCAGTGGCTGCGGATAGCCCCATAGGTTGTGTCTTAACCCTTTGCGCCACAAGGGAGGACCTCTCTTTACTTTTTGGATAGATTTAAGAATGCCTGTAAGTAGGAGACCAGAACAAAAGCAGGAAGGTAGAGGACTGAAATGTAAAGAAAAAGGATGAAGAACACCAAAAAAGAGCACCATTAGCAGTTTCCCCAGTACTTGTATGGCACCTGAGACCTCAGAGGGGGATCCACAAAATCAAAACTATTTATTAATAATAGCAACACTTCATTTGTCTTTTTTTTCGCCAGAGATATCAAAACATCGTGAAATATAGAAAAATGATTAATACAGTGGGTAAAATGCTGGCACATTAGTATACATCAAAGCACTGCACTAATCTGTAAATCACTGCATTTCTCACTATCATATACTCATAGGAGAAAAAAGGTTTGCTTAAGACTGTTCTTGAGGGGCCTTCCTGGTGGCCTAGGGGTTAAGTCTCAGCACTACCACCATGAAGGCCTGAGTTCTATCCCTGGCCAGGGAGCTAAACCCCATGGCACAGCAGACCTCTCCTGTCTTGCCCGCTGCTCCCCTCAGCAGTGTATTTCAATTGATCCACCTGTTCTGTTCCCCACTCTGTCTCTGGTGAGTCCTCTCACCACCCCTGCACCTCTGGCATATACCCCAGTTCTATAAAAAAAATTAAGAAAAGAAAGAATGAAGTTGCTGTTGATCAACAAAGTGGGTTTGGGTTTTTTTTTCTAAAATATTTTTAATTTTTAATATTTTAAAATATTGTAAATTAATATTTAATTTTTAATATTTATATAAAAATATCTATATAGAAAGGTATCAAAATTTGGAAGATCTATAAGTCAGTAACTGTTACTTTCCAAAAGGTAAATACACAGTATTACCCCAAAATGCATGGCTGAAAACAGGTCCCTAAAATCACTCCAGGGGTCACCTATCTGTATCTAGACGGTACCTGAAGAGACTCACCTAGGTAGAGCTGACTTGGAAATATTCTCTCTGGTGTCCACAGTTCTTCTCCCTGTTCCAACTTGCGGATCATATCAGGTTTAGCCATATGAAACCCTGATAATAAAAAATGAGATTTGGTCTCAGCTGCTTGGGTTTTGAAACTATTGAAGAAGAGAAAGTATCCGTTTTGAGGTGTCAGATGAGGTACACATTCATATTTTACCAATGCTTTGCATTAGCAAGTGAGGACATATTCAGACTTTCTGCTAAAAAAAAAGGGGGGGGGTTCATTACCTCTCATCCCTGAAATTCAAAGTCCCATGTACTCTGGAAGTTCATGCCGGGAGGTGCATGACACTGAAAGGTTCACGAGTCTTCCTTACCCACAGAGATGAGGTGGCAATAGTTTTCTAACATGACGTCCCTGTAGAGGGCCTTCTGAGCAGGGTCCAGGTGCTGCCACTCCTCTTGGGTGAAGTCCACAGTCACATCCTTGAATGACACTGCTCCCTGTAAGGGCACAGTCTAGTTCATCCTAAAGTGATTGGAACCAGTGAGAACTAGATATTGGAGCCCTAGTTCAGACAATGATCAGTGGTCAAACTTGTTTTCCTGCTGTATACTGTAGAAAATTCTCTCTGAGGGCCTCCCCTGGTGGCGCAGTGCTTGAGCGCTGGGCTGCGAGGCTGCCCGCAACCTCTGCAGCGACGCTTCGTTCCCCGGCCGCTGGCGAGGGTCCCACAAAAAAAAAAAGAAAATTCTCTCTGAAAATACTCAACTGTATTGACTTATTATTTCATGCTAAAGATAGGAAGTCATACTATTTGCCTTGAGGTCCTTAATTGCCTGATGGTGCAAAATAAACAGGAACTGGATCCTGCGAGAGAGGCATGCATGTAAATACACATGGTAGGAATTACAGCTGTAAAGGCAGAAATATACACCTGGGAAAGTGCTACAAAGTGAAGAAAAATTTCATTTTGTATTCCAAGGCTGCATTGAAGACAAATGTACTCACAATGAATCTGTTTTGTGGAAATACAGAGTAGCTTTTAAAATTCATGGGGAGAAAGAAACTGGTTGGAAAATTCAGGAAATAGCAAAGGAACAGTATATTAGCAAAGAGCCTTTGAGTTTTAAAAAAAAAAAAACAGGCCTGTAAAAGTAGGCAGTGGGCATGTTTGTTTATGGAATCATTCTGGAATTTTACCTTACAAAGTCGTGGTCTTAAAATGTACTGAGCACATTTCAACATATTTGTATTGACTTATAAACCATCAGCAGGCAGGGTCCTCTGTGGTGGCCTAGGGGTTAAATCTCGGCCAAGGAGCTACCCACATGGCGCGGCAGACCTCTCCTGTCTCACCTGCTGCTCTCCTCAGCAGCTATTTCAGTAGATCTGCCTGTTCTGCTCCCCACTCTGTCTTTGGTGGATCCTTTCACCCCCGCACCTCTGGCCTGTACCCCAGTTCTTCTGTGCATAAATACATACATACATGCATACATACGTACAAACATAAATCTTTAAAAAAAAGTTTTAAACTGTCAGTAGGCATTACTGGTAATCACCGTTAATAAGTACCTTTTCTGAATATAAACTTACTATTTTTCTCCCTTCCTATAAACTGTCTTTATACATTACATTGTAAAGCATACCCCATTTTGGAGCTGCTGCTTAATGGACGATAAAGAACATTAAGGCAGCACATGTATTAGTGATAAAAGTTTTAGTTTAAAAGCCACACGCTTGGAGACTAAAGATTGATTGAGGTGTTTTAGGATGGAAAGACAATCACTATTAGATATGTCTCCTAGATTAAGGTGTTATGAGTGGTCTAGACTGGACAACGGGTTACTACATGATGAATTACAACAGATGGGTCACAAGTTGGTTGCAGAATGGTAAAAAAGGCATAGTTCTTGGGTTATCTACACAGGCAAGTGGGTGGGTGCTGGCAGTAGAAAATGAAAATGGAGAAAGAAAGAACAGACTAAATCAAAGGAGATAATGAAGTAAATCTTGGAAATATACTGGAAAGCCTGTGGAACATATAGGTGGCAATAACTGTTGGAGGCTGGGCATACAGAGGCCAAAGATGGAAAGAGGTATTTGAGAGTCACTAGAATCAGTTTAATGTAGCCCTTACAGTGAGTGTGTTTGTGACGGAGGAAATAAGATAGTGAAGAGAAAAGAACGAATTAGTATCTAGAGAAAGGTAATATTTAAGTATTGATAAATGAAGTGTAATTTTCTGAAAGACTTGAAAAAATTATTTTATATGTAGAAAAAAGGACAAAGTATCAGCTTTGATTGAAGAGTAGAGTATTTCAAGAGGGAAATAACATACACATTTACTTCTTCTGTACCAACATATAAAGATTAGAAGGAACAGAAAAAGATAAGAATAAATATTTAACAACATTGAAACATTGCAAAGGTTTTACTGGCAGGCCAGTTTGTAGGAATTATAGGAGGATCAGATATGAGAAGTGGAAGATCTTACTTTTGTTTGAACTTATAATCAGGGGCCTCCCTGGTGGTATAGGGGTTAAGTCTCAGCACTATCACTACTATGACCTGAGTTCTATCCCCGGTCAGGGAGCTACCCACATGGTGCAGTAGACCTTTCCTCTCTCACCCACTGCTCCCCTCAGAAGTGTATTTCAGTAGATCTGCCTGTTCTGCTCCCTACTCTCTCTCTGGTAAATCTTCTCACTCCCCACATCTCTGGCCTGCACTCCAGTTCTTCTATGCAAAAATAAATAAACAGGTATTTAAAAAAAAAGAAACTTATAATAAAATCCCTATCCTGAAAACCACAAAAGAACATCTCACCACAAATGATTGGTCTATAATTTACTTGATGTGTAAAATCTAGGTCAGTGGACATGATCAAGCTAGTACTTGATCATGCGTCCTCCCAGCTTAGATTTCAAATCAGCATCTAGACAAGGTAGACTCATTCAAGCAAAATATTCCTATCTACATCAAGATAATACATTTCTGTGCTAAGTTGCATTGTGAGAAGACTGACAAAGGAGATGATCCACCCAACCAAGAAGAGAACTAGAAGGTGCACTTGGAGAAGGCTTAAGTTATTCCGACTGGAATAAGAAAAACTGGGAACAGGGCTGAAGCTAGACTGAGAGTATTAGAGGCACAGGGCCTCAGAGCTGAAATTTCACATCATAGGTCACTTGCTTCCCACCCCCTAATCCAGGCCCTGCCACAGACCAGTTCCATGGCAGCAGATCCCAGCATTCAGGAAATTTCAGGACAGGGAAACAAATGCTCAGATAACCCAAAAACAAGTTATTTCAGAAAGAAAAGGAACATCGTCTCACCTGAGGCATGGCTTTGAGATCTGCAAGAGGTGAACTTCCTGTTTAGAGCTCTTCTTTTGAAAAAGGAAAAAATCCTGAGAGGGCAGAGAGGGAAAGGTGCCATGTGAATCCAGTTTGAGATCTCCTAGAATAGCTCAGTTAAGTCTGCATGAGTTACCACTTTCAACGCTTGCCCACTGTGTACCCCACTGAATGCAAATTGGTGATAAAACAGACAAACTGCTCCCTCATCAGCTGCACAAACCAAGTCTGTTAGTGAAGTAGGATGGATTCTGGGAAATCCGTAGCAGCGTGCAGAGGAGGCACATTGTGCCTTCCATCTCCCATGGAGGACAGGCCTATTGCATTTTTCCAGACTGTCACTTCCTAGCAGTTTATCCTGTTATCAATGCGCAGAATACCTCCCACACCTGGCATATGCAGTCAACAGTAACTTTTTAAGCTCTGCTATCAGATTGTATTGTAGTTCTGATGAACACTTTGCTTATTATGAGAATAAGCTCCTTTTAGTAAATTTGAAGTAATTTTTGTTTCTTTTCTGGGAAGGCATCTCCTCTTTTTTGAATTTTTATTTCCTAATTGGTTAATGTTGTCTTCCTTTTTTTTTTTTTAATGTAGTAAAGTTGTTCATGTTTTGCTTGTGAAGTTTTTTTTTCCCCGTATGTTTTTGTTTTTAGCAATACTACATATTTATGGAAATGTAATCCTCACATTGATATGAGGATATCCTCCATTGATATGAAATGCTATCTCTATATAACATGTTCCTAGATGCTTAAGAATATCTGGACTTTCTTTTTAATTTCATTACTTCATCTTTTTACTGACTTACCTGTATCACATTACTTAATAAAGCTAATTACTGAAATTAATTAATAGGTAAGTATTAATTATTGAGTGACACTTTTTAGTAGTCCCTATATGCAAATAGAAAAAAAGATATTTCCACTCTGTAGACTTCTAGGCAGACAGGATAATATTTTTTCTTTTTTTGTAATTTCTTTCACTTGTAGCCATTGACTGCTCCAATGAATATATGAACAAAATAACTATTTAACTGTGAAAGTGAGGCTGGCCTAGTGATTAAAAGTGTTCCAAACACTTTTATTATCTTAGAATGCCTGAAGAAGGTGCTGACCTTGCCGGTGTTGTTATCCAGGAACAGGAAATTTCAATCATACAGCAGTGTAGAAAACACTAGTTATGCCTAGGTCATGTTTACCCAAACATTATTCCTGCATACTACCTGGGAACACTATTTCTCTCAATGCTTGGTTTTGGTTTATGGTGTTGTCCTGTAATGAATCTTCTTACCACGTGGGAATTATGAAAACCTTACCTCTTCCTTTCCAATATTTATACCTCTATTTTATTTGCTAAACTGCTAGTGAGTTACAGCTTTGGCGGCAGGCTTAGCAGCCACTGTCCAGATCATCAGATCTTCCACACCCAAGCAGACGTGGTCATACAGCGCTTCCCAGTCACAAAATCATCCCACATCATAATAGGCGACAAACACATGCAGTTACATTTAATCTAACTTACTTCGGAAACCCACCTCCCACGGCCCCGGGAAGTTCTGCACCCCGGGCGGCAGACTGCACAATCCCATCACACACCCCACTTTCCCTTTCCCCTGGGCACTTACAGTCTCGAACCCGGTTCGAGCCCAATCTAACGAGAGACACATGCAGAAGCGGCCCCGCGCAGCAACGCGACTCCATCCACTGCCCGCACGAGCCGCCGCGGCACCTCGGAGCAGGGGCACGCGGGCGCCCCGCCGGGACTGGGGGCGCAGCGCCCCGCCGCGGAGGCCCTGCCCCGGCACCCGCGCGCCCCCCGCGCCAGCCTCGCCCCCGCCACACCCGGGGCCCCGCGGCCCGGCCCCGCTCCCCGCCCCGGATTACCAGGCCCGCCTCGGACTCCGACTTTCCTCCCCGCTGGGCCCCGCTCCCCGAGTGCGCCCGCCCGGGCCCGAGATCCCGGCTCCCTCCGGCTCCTCAGCCTCCTCCTCTTCCTCTTCCGAGCCCCCGGCCCCGCCGGCCTCATCCCGGGCCCCGCCGCCGTCTGCGCCTGCGCACTGCGCGGGTCGCGGCTCCCAGCAGTCAGCGCGGCCGCGGGTCGCCGGCGGCGGGTCCGGGCTGCGCCCCCGCGGGCGGCCGCGTCTCACAGGCCCTGGGGCGCCCAACGAACGTCGTCTTCTGGCTCATTTTCCCCCAGCCTCGCGGCCGCCGCTCTCTATGTGGTGAGTGGAGGCGGTGCTGGCCCGGGTGCGGGAGGCGCTCGGCGGGCGGGGGCCGGGGTGTCGCCTGGGAGGGGCCCGGGCCGGGCGCGGGCGCGAGGCGGCGTCTGTGAGTGTTAACCTCGGCGATACCAGAGGGTGTGTGAGTGTGTGTGTGTGTCTGTCTGTCTGTCTGTCTCTCTCTCTCTCGGCTGCGGTGTGTGCGCTGGGGAGCCCCTGACCGGTTCCCACTGGGCTCTGGGGTTGTGATTTGGCGCGGCGCCTTTTGTAGGACCGTGTGTGTCAGACGGCGATGGATCCGGTGACAGCCCGCTTGTGACCCACCTGAAATTGACAAAATTGGTCTAGCATAGCTTTTCAATTTTTTTTTTAACTTTAAAGGGTAGAGTTTCGGGCCTCCCTGGTGGCGCAAGGGGTTAAACACAACACTATGAGGCAATTCACAGCCTCGGCAGCACAGATTCCATCCCTGGCCGGCCAGGGAGCTACCCACATGGCGCAGCAGACCTCTCCTGTGTCTCCCACTGCTCCCCTCGGCAGTGTATTTCAGTCACTCTGCCTGTTCTGTTACCCACTCTGTCTCTGGTGAGTACACACACACACACACACACACCCCGCCCCACCTTTGGCCTGTACCCCCCAGCTCTTGTATGCATAAATAAATAAATCTTTAAAAAAAAATGAAAGAACAAAGAAACACAGAACTAAATATTGATAAACCCAACATTGTAATTAAACTGAACAAAAAATGGACTAAAGACTCCAATAAAAAGACTGTGCCAGATTGGATGAAAAGCACAAAATCAACCAACAGCTGACACACATAATGACACAGAAAAGTTGAAAGTAAAAGTATGAAGGAAACAAAATACATATATTAACCAAAAGAAATTTGCTGTCACTATATTAATATGAAAAAGGAAAAAAAAAAAAAGGACTGTATTGTGTTGTTGCCGCTGCCACCACAATCTGCCAGTCTCTTTGGTCTCAGCAAAAGCCTGGTGACCCTGTAGAATGAGAGACAAGGCAACTAGGGAGTAGATGGAATACCACTTCATTCAACATTACTACCAATTATTTGATAACCACAGAAACTAAGACAGAATCGAGGCAGAATTTACGGTGATGCATCATGCCTTACCTGGGAAGGACAGCAGCTCCAGGGGAGAGCTGCTGTTGTGGAAAAGTTGTCTGGGTTTCCATTCCACAAAGTCCTGGATGGTGTCACTACACAGGACCACACTACACAGGCTACACCAGAGAGCTATGTCTTCAACATGGTCACGGCCCACTCAGAAGCTGTGAAGACCCTGTTATGGGGTTCATCAGATGTTGCTATTAAAAGACATCAAGGTTTGCACCAGTTAGTGGACATATGAGTAGTGACCTTACATGTCATTGTGTGGCTTGGCTGAGTTCTGGTACTCACGCCAGTCTGTGAAAAGAATTGGCTCTGGGAAATTAGCTTTCAGAAGGGGATGAGCATTCAGAAGAAAATGAGACACATTAAACATATCTAAACCCAGAGACCCAAGCCACAGCTTAGGCCAGCTGAGTCATAGTCAACCTGCAGAGCGAGCAGTGCGCTGAAATTAAGACTTTGGTGCAGGATTATTGTTGGAATAGTTAGCTAATGGATAATAAAAATGTTCATTAGGTATTTCAGTATGGAAGTTCACTATGTATTTCCATTTCAACTCAAGAATTACTGAAAAGTTTAAAAAATTTTTTTTTTAAAGAGGCACGGTTTTTTTTTTTTATTTATTTGTTTGTTTATTTGTTTATACATGCACTGGGTACAGTCAGAAGCGCGGGAGGGTGAGAGAATTCACCAGAGCCAGAGCGGGGAGCAGAGCAGGCAGAAGGACGGAAGTACACTGCTGAGGGGAGCAGCGGGCGGCAGGCGAGGTCTGCACGCCATGTGGGACCCTCCTCCGGTGGCCGGGGAGCAGCTGGGGATCGAACCAGCGCCGCAGAGGCCCCGGGGAGCTTCACAATCCAGCGCTCAACCGCTGCGCCACCGGGGAGGCCCTTTAAAATATTTTATTGAGGTAAATTTGTGTACAATAAATTGCATGTAATAGTTACTATTTTTATTAAACTTTTTTTTTTTTTTAAGATTTATTTATCTATACAAGCACTGGGGTACAGACCAGAGCATGGGAGGGTGAGAGAATATACCAGAGACAGAGCAGGGAGCAGAACAGGCAGAAGACAGAAAACACTGCTTAGGGGAGCAGTGGGTGAGACAGGAGAGGTCTGCTGTGCCATGTGGGAATCTCCCTGGCTAGTGGGGGAATCGAACCTGTGGCGCAGACAGCTTCACAGCGCTGCGCTCAACCCATTGCGCCACCACGGAGGCCCGATTTTTGTACAATATTTGATTTCTCCAATCATGTGTCATCTCCATAAAGCTCCCACCACCACCTCACCTGTGAAATGCCACCATAGTCTGTTGTACACATAATTGTACAATTCAGTTCACCTGTGACATCATTGCTACAGCCGGGATAGTGAACAGACCCATCACTGCCAAACATGTCTTGTGCCCTGTAGAATCCCATCCTCCTGCCCCTCTCGCTGGGTCTTTTCCCCAGTACCAATCTGCTTTCTGTCACTATCGAATATTTTGTATTTTTCTAGAATTTTATATCAATGAATTCATATAGTATGTATCTTTATTTCATATATGAAATAAGTAAAAGAAGCTTTTACTCTACAAAGTTATTTTGAAATGTATCCATGTTGTTTGATGTGTCATTTGGTTAGTCCTTGCTACTGAATAGTATTCCATGTAAAAGTAATGCCACAATTTGTTTATTTACTATTTGATGAGCATTTGGGTTGTATCCAGTTTCTTGCTAATATAAATAAAACTGCTGTGAACAATTGTGTACAAGTCTTTGGACCTATGTTTTTACTTCTCTCGAGGATAGATATAGGAGTGGACTGTTTGGGGGTTAATTGGAGAAATGTGAATAGGGGAAAGATAGTAGGTGATGATAGGTAACTATTAATAATAAAGTATGATCATTTAAGGAAGGGCTATGACAGTGTCTTTATTCATAGAAGATGAAGTTCTTAAGAATGAAGTCACATGTTTTTCTCTCAAAAGCAGCATAATCACACACCTATCAATCAAATATGTCAGATGAGAACAAAATTTGTTAAATCAAGTGGCATTTAGATGTCATTCATGTAATTTTACATTTCTGCATGATTGAAAATATTCATTAAGTAGGTTAGAATAATATAGAATAGGGGCCTCCCCGGTGGCGCAGCGGTTGAGCGCTGGGTTGCGAAGCTGCGCGCGGCCTCTGCGGCGCCGGCTCGATCCCCGGCTGCTCCCCGGCCACCAGAGGAGGGTCCCACATGGCGCGCAGACCTCTCCTGCCGCCCGCTGCTCCCCTCAGCAGTGTACTTCGGTCCTTCTGCCTGCTCTGCTCCCCGCTCTGGCTCTGGTGAATTCTCTCGCCCTCCCGCGCTTCTGACTGTACCCAGTGCATGCATAAACAAAACAAACAAACAAACCAGCAAACAAATAAATAAAAGCATGCCTCTATAAAAAAAAAAAAAAAAAAAAAAAAGAATAATATAGAATACCTAGTATTAAATTCAACAAAAATTTCTAAAAATGTCAATAAAATGTGATAAGATTTAATGCAAAACAGGGCCTCCTTGGTGGCCCTCGGGGTTAAGTCTCAGCACTATCAAGCTATCTGCAGACTCTGCAGCATGAGTTCAATCCCCAGCTAGGGAGCTACCTACATGGCACAGCTGACCTCTCCTGTCTTGCCCGCTGCTCTCCTTAGCAGTGCATTTCAGTAGATCTGCCTGTTCTGCTCCCCACTCTGTCTCTGGTGAGTCCTCTCAGCCTCCTACACCTCTGGCCTGCACCCCAGCTCTTGTATGCATAAATAAATTAAACTTTAAAAAATATACAAAATAGCTATTGAAACACATTGTACAGCTTTGGAGCAGGAATGGGGTAGAAATCACTGCAGCTTCCCACTCTAGGGTAACTTGCTTTTTACCGCCTCCCAACAATTACTGCTAAGCTTCACAATCTTGTCTCTCTTATCTGGTCAACCACCACATTTCCTCTGCTACTTCCCCATTTCAAAAACGGAGGAAATTTTTAGAAAGAGACTTTCCCCCTTCTTTTGGGAAAGTGGAAACTTCTATTTTTCCACTTTCAGTAAAGTGGAAACTTCTATTTCTTGGCAATATGTGCCATGGGATGGAGGTAGGTAAAGAAATTTATACCATGTCTCCTACAAAGCAATTGCCAGCAGGCGGACTGGTGGTAAAGCACCTAGGGAGTTACTGACTACAAAGGTCCTTGCAAGAGTGTGCCCTCTATTGGGGGGGCTGTGAAGAAACCACCACTACAGGCCCTGTAAGGTGGCAGCCATGAAATGTTATGGGAAGTCCTCTGAACTGATTCCCAAACTTCCTTTCCAGTGTCTGGTGGGAGAAATTGCTTAAGACTTCAAAATAGATCTGTACATCCAGACCTCAGCTATTGATGCTTGGCAGGAGACAAATAAGGACTGGTTGGTCTATTTTAAGACAGCAATCTGTATGCTGTCCATGCCAAATATGTTACAATGATGCTAAAAGACATGTAGCTAGCATGCTGCATGTATGGAGAATGACTTAAGAGTCCACTATGATGAGACACATTTCCTTCTCAAAAAAAGAGAAATCTTCCTTTTACTTTTTTCCCATGGTATCAAAAGCTACCTATGTATATGATCACAAGAGGAAAAATAGGGAAAAATCAGGTATTGGTGGTTTTTACATTTCTATTTGTATGGGAATTTTTAATAAAAATGTGGGGATATAAAGCATTAATCAAGTCGAAATGTTTCTGTGACTAAGCTTCAGCAGTTCAACTTTATTATAAATAAACCTGTCAAGTTTTTTATGGACAATTCCTGCATTTGGACTTTCTAAAAAGAGGTAAAATAACCAAAATGAAAATGTATACATTGTGCAAA